GTATAGCCAATACATCCTTAAGTATCATGCGACTCAGTTTTGTCACAATATTCCCTGTAACTCGTACCATAGTGTGTATAGATGACAAAAATAGAAACAGGTAATAATAAGAAAAAGAATAGTATGCGAAATCGTGCGTCTGATATGTAATCAGAATTTCTGACGTGTGTGCGTGTGTGTATCGATTTTGTATTCCCAAGTGTCGATAGTTTCACGGTGCAGCGACTGCGATACACAAGATTATGAGAACAGCCACGTTCGTCGTTAAGTTTGCCGAGTTAAATTAACCTCTTATAATCTAATATCGATTCCAGTTTGGCTCGACGCGACAGTGAATTGCTGCGGTACACAAGGTAGTTGCAGCCTCGTGTGTGATTCGACTGGAAATTAATGACGCGGCAGAGAACACGCCTTCTGGGCGTTAGTACACGCCAAATATTTCCTTTACCGCAGGAAAACTTTCGTGGAATGTATTCGGTCAAATTGCTTCACACGATAAACCACGATTACATATTATGTATTGCGATTTTAAACTCCTGTCTGACTACATAACGACTCGTACTACTTATTCCAGGAAATACCCATTAATCATTTAATCTCGTCGACGACGAGAGTACTTTTAACTAATTGGTACATCGAATATGAAAACAGCTATCCTTTGTCACCGGCGTTAATTATTAATTTTCACCCTGTACGTGAATGCGCGCGGAACGATCCGAGGCATAGCGCGTCAAGAGTAACCGAAGGTAAGGAACCTCGGAAGATGACATACATGGCGTGTAGAACGTGAATGCAGTGACACGAACGCGACACGGGGCGTATGGAACCGCGACACGGCACGTAGAGAGGAAACCGAGATTACGCACATCGTTGTACGGCGGTTGTATTAAAACGAAACATAAGCTCGCGAGTCGTCGACACGCCACGGCGCCGATTCGCGCGTGCAGCGCTACGCAAGCTTCGGTTACTCCGGCCCACAGCTTGGAAATCCTGAGCACACCGCACCGTATCTCGCGATTCCCGGCCTGATTAATGTAACTGAAAGCGCAGTTTGTTCTACGCCCGTTTAGCCTCGCGCCACCGCAGCCTCGCGGAGTTCCTGTTACGTGCCGTTCTTACGGGAAACGATGCCTACCTATACCCTAACCACCGCCTTCGCCTATGCCAATGAATTTTCTCCAACGACGGCGGGTGCATCGGTTATTCAACGGCATGCATGTTCGCGATACGCGTTAAGAAGTTTATGCCCCGAGACCGGTCCGGAATACGATACTCGGATCGTGTAACTTTACACGTGTAACCAGGCTAAATCGCACCTTCGCCCCGAAACGTTCTCGGCATTAACTGCGCACCTCCGAATCGCGTGAATCTTACTTCAAAGTACATACTGCTCTAAACTACGTAGTTCTCTAAAGAAAGATGCGATACACGAATAAAATAAGGAATACTCTATTGATCGCTTGCTGAACATCCATTGACGCCCCGTGCCATTTTCGCGTCACGTATACTTTCTTACTAGACTTTGATTTTTCCAACATATAAAAACGTGTACAGGAGTGAAATATTTTATTTAGAAGCGCAAGAGAGAATCTGAAAAGAATTGTGTTACAAATTTCTTGAGAGAAGTTTCGGGCCGCGACACGTGTCCGAGCAGTTCATAAAATACTCGTGGCAGTAGTTGGCAGGACGCGGTACGGTTCTTCCCGAATTCAACCGAGACGAGGATGTTTCGCCGAGTTGTTGTGCGCGCCGAGTTCCGTGAACTTTTTCATCCCCCGCGAAAGAGACTTCAGAGTCCCGTTCCGTCCCGGTCGGGAATTCCGAAATTGCACCAGAGTCTAATTTAAGGAGACTCTTTGTGCTAAACTAGAGCACGAAAAATACGTAGGATCTCACCGACTTTCAATGGGCACGAGCGCGAAGAACATCGAGTCGAGATTTATTTTTTCCCGTCTGCGAAAGGTAAAATTGCACATATAATTTGAAAGGTAGAAACCATGATCTTGTACATTACAATACCGTGGGTTAAACAGACTCGATTGTTATTGGTATGTAATCCTAGTTGTAAAGATCCTGTGCAATTTCCCTGGAGTATACTTTTTAACAGAGTGAACCTATTGTTTTTTCTTATACTGTACTATAATTATCTAAATCATTCTATGAATGTATGCATGCAGAAACCAAAGTTATAAAAGATCTGCAGTACTTCAAATAACTTGAAGTCTCTTGATTTGTAATTTATTGGCTGCGGAGTGGCACTGAAAGTGTACCACATTAATTGATTAAACGAGTGTAACGCGCTTCGTCTAGATGAAAAACAGAAGGCAGGTTAAGTGGTAGAAAATCGTGAAGGTAGGTGTAGTTAGCTGGGGAAGGTAGAATATCGTTAACGAATGGAATTAAAATCGATTCAGTCAACGTCAAGAGTAAACGCTGACCGTTCTTGTTGCCAATACATTTGCAACGGCGGAAACTCGTCCTCGCTCCGCAGCTGCGGTTCGCTACTTTTTTTCCCGGGGAAATGCTGATGGTCGTTTTCACTGAAAAATGAGTGCTTCTTGCGGCTGTGCGCGATCGTTCCTCGAATTGCACACCGTAAATTAGACCCCGAGTCGCCGCCCGCGGGCTGCAAAAATATATAGCTAGATATACGTACTACGTGTGTGTGTATACGTATATGTATATAGGTACATATATATTAAGGATAGAAAGGGAAGAGAAGGGATGCCTCCACCGAAATCGGAGAGGTGTTCGACGAAGGAAATCCATTGCCCTCGGGCCACCGGTGGATACTCTGCTGCGGATATTCGAATTTTCTGCCCGATACTTCGTACATCCGACGTGAATTTTCTACTAGTTGCGTCTATGTTTGGTAAACGTGCCTCTCTTGTTGGCGCAGGGTCTTTTCTGGATTGAAATTATGTTCACTAAACTAATCACTCAGATTCATGCGTATGGTCTACAACAGGTAGCAAAATTTTGAGGAAATGTCAAAATTCTTTTGAATGCAATTTTCACTTTTCATTCTAACTGAATATTGAATGGATATTTGTATAAACGCAAAATATCAAAACAATCGAAAACAGTTGAAATAACATCGGTTTCATGTATTGAATATTTACAGAAAAATGTTGGACAAACATCGTTATTTAAAAATAAACTATTTAACAATTTCCAAACCATTTTTCATTGTTTCTCCGTGCTATAGAATAACTACGAGATTAGCTTTATGTTTACGTTACTAGCGACGAGAGAAAATGTTCACCGAACAATACACGTACACCCACGCTTCATATTCAATCGGAGTTTTGGAAATTCAATTTCCACAACAACGCATACACGCTGACCGTGAACAATGTTACATGGAAGTTTGTTATATTTCATTATGATGAAAAACGCTAGCGATTGAACTGCACGTGAATGGAAAATATTTATTCTACCATAAATTCCACTTTCCAATTGTCAATTATTGTCATATTAAACATTAATTTCTGTAATCAGTTACAACGAATTACTTCAATCATTTTATTCCTTTTTTTGAAATGTCGACACTTCAAATTTCGTTCCTGATTTTTAATCATTTTAACATCGAAACTTCCAGTTTCAAAATGATACATTTATTTAAAAAAAAAAAAAAGATGGACTATGAAACACTGAGTGTAGCGAGTGAGAAGTTGTCGGGGCAGGATAGACCGAAACACAAAGCCGCTCTCAAATTGATAACGCGCACGTGCGCGAGCCACGGTGTACACGCGACTCCTATGAGCCCGTATATTTGTCATCCCCGAACAATCCACTCGGCTTTACCCCCTGGTAGCCGATTTTCTCCGCGTTCTGCGCCCATTCCCGTGCATTTAACGGGCAAGAATGCACACGTGACAGAAATGTTATGCCGCGGCGAGGCGTTGCCTCGGGCCGTTCAAAGTATAAACCGAGAGATACGTATGGAACGGCATAAGACACGATGAACCGAGAATAAACTCGCGATCGTTGTGTTCGATGATACTTTTACACAGACTAAAATAAAATGTTCCGTGCCATTGTTCGCCCTATTTTCCTCGACGCTCGTTGATTTTTAATCTGTGATCGAGTGGTCTCTAAACATTAATAGTATTAATACAATTATATTAATATAATTTAATACAAAAAAAATATAACGATCGCCCTTGGTGGATTGAAATATTCCTGTGTCCTTAATTGAATTATACAGTCGTAACGTCTCGATCTTTTATCTAATAATACAGTTTTACCCGACGTAATTCCGGCTTATTGCTTGTTCCAGGGGAGCATCCGGCTGCGATGCAACACGGGAACTCGAGCAATAGCGGCGCAGCAACGAGGACGCTCGCGTTGCTCCTGTTGCTTCTGCACGCCGGCTCGTTCGCGAGGTGACTGGTCGATCACGAGACCTTCCAATAAAAACGCGAGCAGAGAAGAACGCTGTTTTTCTTTTATGTAATCGAACGGAGGCGAGAGGATGGATAGATGGATGGATGGATGGAAGGAAGGCAGGAAGTAAGACAGGAAGGAAGGAAGGAAGGAAGGAAGGATGGAAAGATGGATGGAAAGGGGATCAAGAGGAGAGATGAAAGAAGCGCGTCGTGTCTCAACCAGCAGCAATCACCTTGAGCCCTTTATATATCACTCTCGATCATGCTTTTAACTAATGAGCAACGAAAGAGCAGCCAGGCCATCAAAGAGACTCCCTGTGTGACCTGGTGAACTGACATCTGACTGCTCGCTGCTCCCCGTGGACGTATCTGGATCGTCTTGACCTATCCGTCGAAGGATGCACTAATCCCAACAACGGTGTATATACCTAGCCAGTTGTTCTTCGTTCTACTCCTCGTTAAATGTGCGGCGTCGATCAACGGTTACACGTGAGTGAAAACAGTTCTTCTTTGGTGGTGGTAGTGGTGGTAATAACGGTGGTGGGTAGTTCTCTTGTCCGGGACGACGTCGAGCCGGATCGTTGTGATTGACAAGCAGCCGCGGGTGGTTCGCGAGTGTGCTTCTCTTTCGTTTCCGCGATGCGCTGGGGTGAAAAACGATGAATAGAATTTCGAGAAACTTGTAAATGGGTGTTTAGACACGACGCAGTTGGACTCGGTGCGATCCACGGAACGCTGTCCGCGATAATCAAGGATCTGTGCGGCTTCTTCGTCCTTAATTAACAGACACGCCGCGTGTCTGCCAAGTTGGACGACTGCCACGTTTTTTCCTTACTCTGACCCCCCCGTTTCCCATCGCGAGACGTGCATCCTTTAAATCGTTTCGTGCTTTTAGAATTCCGTCGAACGATCAACGTTCAGAGAGCTGTGCGATCGAACGATAGACGAAATCGATCCCGAGACTCGATTCAATTTCTGTTAAATACTCGTGGAGATTTCTAAGGGAGCTCGACTCGATAAATACGTTCTGTGTATTCATGGTGTGTAGAAGACGTTTTTAGAAATACAGAATCTGCATATGTATGAGTCGAACGTCAAAGAATTTCGACGTGACCAGGCAAGTTAAACGTAGAATTTGTATAATTCCCTTATCTGAGAATTGTACAAATAGAAATGAATTATTAATAATATGCCTGCACACCCCGAACATTTTAATTTTTAAACAATGTTTTTCGTTCGGATTCGTGGAACTCCATTCTTGATTATAAACTCTAAGGTCAATATAAAAGAGATTTTCAATTTCTTATGAACACTGCGCTTTATATATTTTATACGAAACGTAGTGAGAACGCTGAAGAAGAGAAAACCACTCGAGGCCATAGAAAAGCTCAGTCGTGTACACTATAACGTAAGCCAAGCAGTGAGAACTAATCAAGTTATTGTACAAATTCGTGCACACTCGCGCCTGAATTGGTGTTAACGGTGCATGATTACCGCCTTTCTCGTCGCGAAAGAACGCTGCTTTTGATCGGTAACAAGCTCGCGCACGCAGGTCGGACAAAGGGCTTGTTCTATAACAGCCCCACATACCGCAGTAATTCGCGCGATTAAACGACAGTCAGCAGCACCTGGCTTAGCAGCAGACGGTTACAAACGACCGACGTACGAAGAACGAAATGAATTGACGTCGGTTTACCAACGTAACACTTTTTTCGGGTATCAATCGGAGGAGTATAAAAAAGAAAGACCCTGAGCGCGAATAGATAAAAGTCGGACGAATTCCGGTAGAGACGAATTGGTGACCGCGGCTGGGAAACGTGACGGTTGACGAATTGCCGGATTATAGCGGTTCCCGAGCCACCTAATGAGCGGGATTTCCTTTTTATTAGCTCGAGACTTTTTCCGGATTCCGCGCGGCTTTTCTGTTTATTCCCGGCGGCGGATGGACTACAGGAAAATTTATGGCGTTTCCGAGAGGCTGTGTTAACTGCTCGAATTAAATTCCCCTATCGAAACTCGTTCTCGGTCAGAGATAATTCTAAACGAACTGGGAAGACCAGAAAAATATATTCGGCAGACCTCAAAAATATATTCTACTAATCACTCAGCTTGTCTTCATTCTGCTTTTGCATTAAACATTGGACGCACGAACTTATGTCATTATTTCGTTTAAAGCGGCACGCGTTGAATGCAACAATAGCCGCGGAAGTAGAATAGAAGTTCGCTTAACAAGACACGGAAAATAGAACATGGGAACGCTGGTAACAAGTAACATAGGTCTTTGCGTGACAACCGGGTAGAATAGCTATGCATATACTTGAGGATAAGCTGAAGCTGGAAAGATGAATTCTTTTATACCGTCTTATCCCCAGGCTGACGATGTCGACGTCAGGTTGACGAGCAATAAGCTTTGAAATTCGTTAATAATTTCGTACATATTGTTCATATACTTTTTTCTCTGCAATGATCAGTTCAATAGTTAATACAAAATTATAGAATCAATCGATACTATTTTTATTCCGATAAAGAGATTAATATATTCGAAAGCATAAACGCGATGCCAGAATGCTATCAAGTCGATGCGTCGTCCAGCTTATCCTCGAGTTTTTTTATCAGACGTAAACACGAATCGCGGATAACCGGAAACGTTTTACACGGGCCGAAGTTGCGGAGAACGCAGCACGACGGCGACGACGACGCGGCCTTCGCGGATTCCCGGATAAGAAGCAACGTATTTTCCGTGGCCCGGCGTGACCCGAATATTACAACAAAACCTCGGGTCAGGAATTCCGCTCGAATGCCGGAAGCGAACCGCTGTCTTCTCTTCCCGGCCCTCAGGGCTCCTCCGCTTGAATTTCCACCCAGACAAATATTTAGAACTCCATCGAGTTCGTGCTCTGAGCAACATCCACCGATCCTAGATCTGGATGCATAGTAATAATATGCGGCCAATTTCGCCGATTGCTTTTTCTCATCTTACGTAATAAACGCGTCGGTACGGCCCTTTTAATTATACTTTCACCGACTTCTTTAACGCAGCTGATTCTTAACGGTAACATCGAAGAGAATCTAAATTGTTTCGATAATAATCAACGATTGTCTAGTTGCATTCTTATTTGTGAAAACAGCGCATCTTTATTACGATGTAATGCAACAAATATATTTCAGTTTGTAATTTTTCATTTAGGCATTTTTCACAGTCAATTTCTAACGTTTCACTTGACGACGTTTTACAAAAATGTATATTTGTGTAAACATCAGCTGTCTGCTTATTTGCACATACGACAATAGACGTTCTCTGACCATGAATACATCGAAACGCGATTAGCGGTCGACGTTGAAATTTTTTAATACGATTCACTCGAATATTCGCTGAAGCACGGAATCGTTGGGAGAAGGCGAAAAACGGTTGGATGGAACAATCAGAGCTCTGTTACCGTCGGTTCCGCCGACGTTGCGTAAAATTTGGCTACGGATTCCCCGGCCCGAAAAAAGTTGTCCGCGACGGGAAGAAACGAATCCCATTTGCCTGGCGCTCGTTCCTTTCAATATTCCTCTCCCTCGCGTTCTTTCGAATCCGGACCCGAGGGAATCCAAGGGAAGAACCCGGATTACCCGACACCGCCGCATCGTGGCAGATCATTGATTTCGGATCGATTCGCGAGGCCATCCACATATCCGTGTACGTATCTAATAGTAGGACTCGATAAGTTCTCTAGCGTTAAGCAACGCGTTACGTACTCTAGCGACGAGTGGTTTTATGCTCCTGGAACGTTCCTGTCGTTCCCGACGAATTCTGTCAATGTTGCACGCGAGTGTGAAGCAAGTGTTGGGGACTCGAAAGGACTTAAAAGAAATTCAACTGCGAATGAGTGTTGTGCAATTAGCGATTGCGTCGCGTCTCACGCGGCAATTTAAGAGACGTCGATACACCGGAAACAATTACTGTACGCGCGTAATAAGAAAAATTGCGGAAGTTCCGATTGAATCGCTGAGTTCAAAGCAGAATTTCCGGTCTTGAAGAAATTCAGGCGATATTCAAAGCTCTCTAATGCTTTGTACCATCAAGGAAGGTCGAAAATTTGTTGGACGATTGGAGTCGAGTCCGTAAACCCGATCACGGAGTAAACTGTTCATCCGGGGTGCCTCGAGGAAACTCTATTTCAGATGTTGCCGTTTCTCGGTGTGCTTATACTAGGACTTCCGACTTGAACATTCGGATTAACGCGTAGAAAGTACGATCGATTGGTTCCGAATAACTGGAATGCCTTACGAATGCGAAATTAGCGCGAACGACTGATTATCCCCTGAAATCTGCACGCTAAAGTAATTAATTGCCCAGCAACGACTAACCATCGGGAAAATTGAATAACAATTCTGAAATATCTGCTTCCTCGATCGAGGGTTAAATATTAATAAACAGACTACGGACGTTTATTCGAAACATGACACTTGCGACGTCAATTTAGAAAATGAAATCCAAATAGGGATTTGCTTGATCCTTTTTCTATAAACGACTAAAATCCGTGGTCTCAATAAAGAAAAGTGTTATTATTGAAATTGTTATTAGAATTTATTATCGTTGAAGTTTATAAACGAAAGCCTTTTGGAATTTGAAAAAGCGCGGAACTTGGCAATTTTTTATCGCGCAGTTTATTGTATCTCGCTCGTACAATTCTATCGGTTATGTCAACGACTAATAGAGATTGTATGCCGTGGGATTCATTTTACTTCTTGCGCATCTCGTTTCACCACCGTTTCGCGCAAACAAACGAAGCGGTTTGGCGTGGCCCAGTAATTGGTACGATGAACACGTAAAGTTACGTGATCAGCCTGAATATTGACGAATGTAAATAGACGAGATTGATTGAACGTTGCAGCGCGGTGGAAACGATCACGTCGACCCATAGCGCTGGCAGTTTTACAGCCGGTGTTCGATTCGAACTCGCGTGTAATCCTTAATCGCGTGCCGGACACGCAAGAATTATTGCCAGTAAATTTTTATGCGGGATTATCGTTTCATAAATCTTTAGCCTTGTCAATATTTCCTTTGAAACTGAATTTGTTCGTATTATTGCCGACGAGAATGATTGAATCAAAGTAATCGGCGACGAAATTCTCTCAAACAATAGATCTGCGATTCGCGCGGAGCGAAACGTGTACTTGAGAATACACGTCGCAAATGGCTCAGAGAGCAGAGATATCTGAGAGCAAATTTTTCCATGCTACGTGCGGGGCACGTCAATTTTTTTTCCGTTGGGAAAGCGAAAAATTGACTCGTCGGCCTGACCTCTCTGGCGTCGTAACGGGCGACAGAAGCGTGCAAATATATGTATATGGAAACGAGCAGGCAGAACGATAAACGCTCCAATCGTCCGCGAATTTTTTCACTATTTTATTTTATAACTGCATAGGCGTGCGGATCGTATCGTCGCCGTTCCGTGCTGCGACCATGCGTGCACGAACAGCGCTGTAAATATTTAATCGGGCCGCAAATGTTGATAATCGAAGAGTCTCTGATGAATTTCCGGTGATTAGAACCGAAACGAAAATTGTTCGGTGAATCGAAAGAGTCTTATTGTCGTCGGATGAAAATTTATCAAAGCATCCGGACATCGAAACGGAAGATAGTAACACAGTTTCTTCGATATCTGATAGTGATACGATGCACACAGCGTGCAGTAATTGTTCAGAACTGGTCTCGATAACGAGTACGAGTTTGGCACGTTTGAAGGATCTGGTATTTAGAGAACGACGGGAATGACGTGAAATGATCAGCGCGCAAAGGGTTGAAAGTAGAACACGATCGCCGTTTCCGATATTTTATTCGAACTGCGTTCATGTCCTAGGGTCGCGTCCGTCGGATCAATATTTCTACCAACTTTTGCAACTATACACCCGCGACTTCCTTCCTCGATTCCAATGAAACGAGATGTTACCCCCCCGGCCCATCCCGTAGAAGTTTAGCAGATTAGCAGAGGCGGCTCGTGCATAGACACTGCCGAACGAACTGCCCCAATCTCTTTCGGTATACAATTTTCGTTTGTTCCTACTTCGTTTCATCGTCAACGATCCTATGCGATTCTCTTGTTTCGTATGAAATAACTGTGAAAAGTATACCGCGTATCCTTACGGTATCACGAGCCGTCACTGTGCGTTAGTAAAGGGAAGCGACTCGTCGCCGAACCTGAGATCGGCGCCGAAAGCTCCGCGTCGCTCGCGAGCGAATCCTTTTGCATTCCGTCACAACGTCGTTTTTCCATCCCCGCATAATCGCCGATCTGTCTAATTGTAATCATCGATCAGCTCGCTGGATCGATTCTGACGTAGGTGATCGCATCGAGTACCAACGAACAAGCACTACACATACTATACTAATAGTTCATCCTCGAGATTCACCTTTCTCGCGAAGAGGTTCGCATTTTTTCTATTTTATATCGGACATACGGACACGCATACACACGTGTACACGCTCCTATACAGACACGGACACGAGCCATTATTCTCCGCGTTGGAAGTTTCCCGAGATCACTTCCAACGCCCACTACTTGCCGGGTAAACGGTTAAATCGCGATGATTGTAACTCCTACGACATACACGGACACACGAGCTAATCGAATGACTGGTAGCGAGTAAGTTAATCGAACTTGTAACGAGATCAATTATTGTTAGCGAGCGGTAAACGTACATATGTTTTAGTAACACTAATCGAGGATGTTACATTACTAAGTACTATTCATGTATATATACGTATTAACAATAACAATTTACCGTTTATGTTCAATCCAATTGTACCAGAATTCGTAAGCCAATTAAAGAATAACGATTATTTGTGGGAATCCTTGCTCATTTCATTCTGGCCAACCCGTTTTAATTACTAGACTGCGTATTCCTTTAAGCAGTTTCATTTATACAGCTTTTTGTCGGATTCAAATTGTTTCACATTCTATGCTCCCACGAAGAACCGCAGTCTAGTAATTATTAGAACAGCAACGTTATAATAAATACCTGCGAATTAACTGTAATTCTAGTTAGTTTGTACAACTTCTATAGTATCGAATTTAACCCAATGTTATATATTTTTCAGTGCCGTGATTTACGACTATCGATTGCTCCTGCTATCTCCGTTCTCCTATTTTTTTCCTCAAGTTTCAGTGGAGCTATAAAACAAAAGATACGATGCTACATATCGTGTAACGGATTCCACGCCTCTGATATTAGACAGACCGGTAATAATGTTTTAATCATCGTTAACTAGAAAATAACAATAGCTCGGACGCGGTTCTGTAATCTCTCTCAGACCGACGAGTATATCCGTTCATTGTCTATGAATGTCTATCGTGAACGTGATTTAGCGCGGTCATTTGCATCTCTGTTGGTCCCGGGAGTCACGATCCGGCCTCGCGTCAGTGTCGATAAACAGTGCCTTGGATATAACTGTAGGTGCGAGTAGCGCAACGGGTATTCCGGTATCGGCCATTCGCGCGGTATCACCGATGAATGCAACCTCGTTTCTCATACCTCCATCGCGTCTACTTGCGCGGCACTTAAGCAAATTCCCTGGTTCTTGTTACTAAACGGCCACGTAGGTGAGCACAGTTTTGACGTAAGCCCCCCCGGCTTAAAGCAAATGACATTAGGATCGATTTAACCGCGGCGAGCCGATGGGTGTGGTACCTATTCGAGCGTAGCAAAATGTTTGTGCATTTTCTGGGGAATATTTCATCGAATTCAGATCGAGCCATGGCTGCGTCGCTCGTTCGATTTTCAGGATGGAACTCGCGACGTTACGATCCTGGATATCAAGTGAACGCTTATCTGCGTGGAGCAACGTTTCTAGGTGAAAGATAAAGTGTCCAACACGGTAGAAAGGTATCTGCTTCCGGCTTATGAATAGTCAGCGAGTTCATGTTAACTTTTAATCATAAAACTTCTCCACGACGAGAAACTTGATCGGTGTGTTAAAGATGAGACCGCTGTTTCTTTTTAACCTTACGCGACATTCGAATAAAGTCATAGCTGCAAACAAGCCCATTACCCAGCTGAGCATCTGTTTCTTTTTTTCCCCTATCGCGGGGAAAACGTAACGCTTAATTCAAATCTGATTGCGATTTAATCGCGACCCCGAATCTAATGTTCTTTTAATTGAATCCGCAGTTAACCCCGCTTTATCACGGTGCTAATTTCAACGGATGGGGTACGATTCAAACCTCCGGCGAGCTTAAGCGTTACGCACCGATTAGCATACACGTTGAATATTATATTCGGGCCGGCCGGTTTCATTACCCCGCTAAATGCAAAAAGATCCTTCTGGACGATGCTAATTAGTCGCGGCAGGAAGCCTTTAGTCTCCCCCGTACCGTCCGTCTCCACCCCTTCGCGCTGTACATTATTTCACGGGCGCGTACCGTTTAAATACTTCAGACTGCGCCAGCGTGATTGTATTTCTTGCTCTAGTGTTTGTTTTAATTAACGAGTACATAAACCCTGACCCAACTGTGACCCAACCCGAAATACTATCCCGGCGAAGACACTCGTTGCGTTAAGCTACGGCTTAACAAGCTGACATTACGGACACTGTAAACGGTGTACACGTTCCGCGGTCGCGAGTACGAGTCACCCCGCAGCATCCTGATTCGCCGAGCGCGATCATCGATTTCGTACGACGCTGACCCGCCCGCATCATCTTATCGTTTAGCTTCCCGATATGCATAATTCAACTTCGGAACGTACGGCCGTCGTACGAAATCCTCGTCGCAGCCCGTTTCCTCGATACTAAAACAATTTGAAAGACGTGCTTGCCAAAATAGTATATTTCGGTTTAAACCGTCCTTTATCTCCATAACCTCGGCTTTAAATAATGCGGTTGCACGAAGAAATATGTGCCCGCTTGTTGGAACGGATGGAGATCGCTTACATCTCCATAAAAGGCAAATGCCTCGTGAAACGTTGGTCAAGAATTCAACAAGAAAACAGGATGGTTTAATACGATTATCGTTGATGAATATCAAACTGATGATGTACATCCTTGAAATCGGATTCCCATAGAAAATGTATTTTTTATTCCTTATCATTTGAGAATCGTGATCGTGTTTGCAGAGCATCACGAGGCATGATCAGAGGCGCGCGACTTTCCCCGCGTACCGTTGAATCTTTCATGAGGAGTGGAAAACTTAAAGGTAGGGACGCCTGGATGGGAGCGAACGATTAGTCGAAATTATTCAATGCTTTTCTTACCGACGACGCTAGAAATATTCCTGATCTCGCTCAGAGAGATAGAATGTCGCTCGAGATCGTATTCGCCGCCGTTAAGCGGAGATGAAACCGAATCGAGATTCTATTTCCGCTCAAGAACGCCTGCCGGCGATATTACCGTTGCAAGAATACGTTTCTAATAACATTAATAAGTATCGCGTTCTGCCTTCGCCGTCGAGAGCCACGAAATTTTTTAATCTAGAATCATTTCCGTTGGACATTTACTCGTCTTGTCCAAAAACAAACCTTTGCCACTCGCGCGCGTAGAGTTGCATGTTGAATTAACCTGCGGTCGCGGCGGACAGCCACCGAAATTCTGCCGGCCAAATAAACGTCATGATATAACGTTTGGAAACGTAGTATGGATGCCGCAACACGGCTGGTTTCTAACTGGACGGTTCCGTAAATATATTGCCTCCGCAAAAACGCGCTTCGACCAAAGAAATAGTAATTTGAATTCCAGTAATAATTATAAATACGTCAATTGAATTTTCTTTATGTACACAATTAAGAGCGAATGAGCCAAGTCGAAATTACGAGATGACGAACAAGGAGATCGGAGCGACTCCTCTCACTTTCGTTTTACTTCTGATGGAACGCGGCAATGCTGAAATTGACGGTTCTGCAGTTTAAACGAGCTTTGAATTTCGTAAAATAATTCCAGCAGTTGGAGGACGCCCAAGGTTCGTTCGTTCGTTCGTTCGGCTATCGCACAGCCGGAGCGCAATTTTACTGGAGAATTGAAAATTTAGTTTAATGAGTCTTTCCATTGTTCTCTCGCGCTGCGCTGATGCGAGAAATGCTCGCAGTTTCATTCTACAGCCGTATCGGTCAATGGGAACGATTTCCTTGAGCTTCAGTCTTCCCGGTTACGCAAGTGATAAATGACACCGTTTTATCATTCGGAAATTGTGCATGTTTCTGCACGGTTTTAATCTTATTTCATTTCACTGTGGCAAAACGAGGGCTTTGTTTCAATTAGGCGTTTGCATTTATGCAAAAAATTACATAAACGTATACGAAGTGAATAAATGATTTTCATAATTGTTCAGCATGAATATTTCAGTTTTCATAGATCCGCAGATTAATTCTAATTCTAATAGAAGTAACGGTTAATTGCATTACTCGGTTATCTAAATGAATTTCGTCTATCTGCTCATTATCATCTACCTTCCTGCATATTATCATCGTATCCTCCCGTTATTGTACGGAATAATATCTAATACGTTTACGCTGTATATTATGCATTTCCATATTTTATGCGTCCGCTGGTAGAAACGGGAAAGCTTTATCCGTGTCAGCGTGCGTTAACCGTGAACAGTGCTTAGTAAAAGAAACAACCCCTTTGCGCGCGACGAAAGCTCTTTTTTGTTCGCGTGGAAATAAAATAAAATGGAGTCGGCAACGGGGTTGGACGCGTGAACAGCATAACGTAAAAAACGTTGCCGACGCAACTGGGAGTCGCTGTGCGCTTGATACGTTTTCGTCTGACCTCTATTACGCCGCGCTTTATGCGGGAAACACGGTTAAAGAAAATTATTATGCTTCACTCATCGGGACGAACGTACGAGAAGAAAGATTAATCGTTTCATTTAAATAAATTCAATTCTGCCTCCGTGAACAGCGAGAAATCTTAACAAACGCGGCCAGGTTTTGTCGGAGTGAAGGCAAACGAAATTGCACTGTTGCTCATCAAAAATGGAAATTACTATAGCCGGTTGAATCGGTGTTCTTACACGAGGATGAATTTATGCATGAAGAATATTTATTTCATAATCGGAAAACAGGTGTATCAGACAGCGATTCCGTTATTTCTTAACAAACGTATAAATTATAAGGGCCGATTAAATCTGTTTCCATAAGAAGAAGTAGAAGAGGTTTACTTTAGCGGGATAACTAATTCTCGGCACGGTATAAAAGCCGCTGTTAACTGTCCCAGAACCGTTGTTCGACAGGATGGAAAATGTCGGTGATCAAAGTCGGCGAGGAAGTGCCATCGCGGAAGCTCGCCTCGTACGAAACTGATGAGACTGGCCGTGCTTAGACCGACAACTGGGGGTGAAGTCGCTTTAACGGGTTTTTTGAGAACGTAAAACCGGACCCGGTAGTAAAAGCGGCGGAGGTGGATGAAATCACAATCGCTTAATGAATTTGCGGGGAGGAGGGGGGGGGGTAGGGATGGGACCGCGCGCTAGTGGCGAATTGGGGTCGGCGCCGTCTAACTGCGCGCACATTAGCCCGCTGCTCCCCGGAGGGAAAGAGAGACAGGAGGGTTTTGACACGGGAGCGCAGAGACAGCTCGGAAGGGTAGAGAAGAGAGAGTGGAGGGAACCATTACACCGAATTCGCCCAGGAATTTGCATATATAACACGGGGACTCGGCGGCAGCCGAGGAGACGGGAGAGACCGGATAAGTGGCTGTCTTTGAGTAGCTGAAGCCTTAGGATTATTCAATTAATATATTCATTGAACCATGCTGCGTCACTGGATTTGTTCAATGAGAAAAATGATTAGTACGACCGTTCATCGGTTGTTATCCACGATGTCTCAGTCTTGTATTGACAACATAATGAAATTTGCAAAT